TTTTGGTGTAATAAAGTTGTATTTTGTCTTAATGTATATCAGGTACAATGTATGCCATTTTGAGCTAATGAGAAGATATATATATTAGCTTTCCTCCTCTCTGCTATTCCCTCTCTTGTTTCTGTCATCCTCTTGCACACTGATCTTCTATTACTCTTTATGGTATCAGAGCTAGGTTGATGCAACATCAGGATTGTTACGTGTAGAAAGAAAATTCTTCTCATTTGTGTGAAATACTGATTTAATTAGCTGCAATGTTCTTCTTTGATCTCTTTCTTTCTTTATCCTTTCTCCTTTGCTCTCTTCTTCTATCTTCTCTAAAATGGCAGTTGATACTAGCAGTGTTCTGTATCGTATCCTAATGATGGATCTTATTCTATCAGTGTTGAAAAGCTCACTAGAGAAGCTGATTACAAATCTTGGAAAAGATCTATGGAGATAGCACTCACAGCAAAGAAGAAAATAGGCTTTGTACAAGGAACGGTGCTCTGATCTGCATATGCAGAGGATCCTGTCAAAGCAGATCAATGGGATACCTGCAACTCCATGGTAATATCCTGGCTTCATGGTTGCTTGTCTGATACAATTAAAAAATATGTTCTATATGTTAGTACTGCTAGAGAAACTTGGGTCCAACTTGAAAAACGTTTCTCTATGTCTAATGGCTCTAGAAAATATAAACTGAACAAATATTTGTGTAACTTGAAACAAAATGGTAGCTTTGTTAATGCGTATTACACTGGCATGATTAGCTTGTGGGAAGAAATTGATGCAATGAAAGTGCTGCCTATAGTTTCTGAGTCTAGTCCTGAGGTTAGGTCTTTGTTGAATGCTATTGCAAAGTATCAAGAAGAATGTAACATAGATTGTTTCAATTCCTAAATGGCTTGGATGAACATTATAGAGCTATGAGAACACATCTTCTCATGCTCAACCCCTTACCTACAGTTGAATTAGCTTGTTCTATGCTTCAACAAAAAGAAAGTCAGAGAGAAATACTTCTCATGACTAAAACTGAACAAGATATTTCTGCTATGTACAGCAAGAATTCTGGAAACTCAGGATATTCTAGTAACCAAAACTATGTTTCATCCAACACTGAAAATAATAGCAGGGGAGGTGTGTGTAGTGTATGTGGTGTTAAAGGTCATGGACCAGACAGCAGCTGAAAGGTGGTGGGCTACCCTAGCTGGCATCACAAGCATAAACCAATAGCAAAGTTTGGAATGAATCTGTAGAATCAGAAATGGAGCAAGCTATCACCTAAGCTAGCTGTTGTTGCTCACAGTGCTTCATCTCCAGGACAAAGCAGCTCATGGAATGTCACCCTCACACAACAATAGTTTGATCTGAACAACTATTAAGATAGCATTACTGAAAATAGTCAAGTATGTGCAACTTGTCCCATGGCGAAATTCACAAAGCTGCCTTATGATTTGAGTTCCTCTCATGCATCTCATCCTTTTGAATTGATTCACATGGATATCTGGGGTCCTTATAAAGTTTGCACAAGGGGCAAATAAAGATATTTCTTAACTATAGTAGATGACTTCTCAAGAACAACTTGGGTGTACCTGTTACAGCACAAATCTGAGTCCCTTGACAAACTCAAAGAATTCTCCAACTATGCTCAAACACATTTCAAGTGCAAGATAAAGTATCTTAGATCAGATAATGCTCTAGAATTCCATGACTAATATTGTCAAGATGTTATTGCAAATCTGGGAATTGTTGATCAGACATCCTGTGTTGATAGACCACAGCAAAATGACAGCAGCTCATTTGATCAACAGACTGCCCACACCATTTCTAAAGAACAAAACTCCTTATCAAGTCTTGTTCAAATCTTAACCAGACTATTCACACTTGAGAGTATTTGGGTGCCTGGCCTTTGCTGCCAACCTAGCTGGGACTACAGACAAGTTTCAGCCCAGAGGTGTATACTGTGTGTTCATTGGGTATCCTGCAACTCAAAAGGGTTACAAGTTACTTGATATAAAATCAAAGAAAATCTTTGTATCTAGGGATGTCACATTCCATGAAACCATTTTTCCATTTCAACTTACCTCTCTTGATCAATACATGAAACCTATGCCTTCCACTCTTACCCAAAAAGAAAACTTCAATCATATGTATATTGATGAAATTAAAGATCCAAACCAAAATGAAAACACAACAGACACACCCACTCCTATTTCAATTCCTACTTCTGATGCCACTCTAATCTCTTCACCTATTTCTAACTCCTATCAAATTCCTTCTCCTATTCCTGTTCCTTTTCAGACACAAAGTGATAGCCCTTTGACTTCTCTGGATACAGAACAAAATGTGAGGCAAAGCTCAAGACCAATGAAACCACTTGTTTGGATGAAAGATTACATCTAACCTAAGAAAAAATCTGAGATTCAGATAGCAAATTTGGCTTCTCAAGAAGTTGGTCATGAGTTTCATTGCTTTATATCTACCCTTGCTACATCTCAAGACCCTATATTTTACAAACATGTTGTTACTAATCAGCATTGGGTGGATGCCATGAACAAGGAACTTGAACAATGTGAATTGAATGGCACTTGGACAGTCACTACTCTTCCACAAGGAAAAAGGGTGATTGGATGTAAATGGATATACAAGACAAAATTCAAGTCCAATGGTGATATTGAGAGACATAAAGCCAGAATAGTTGTTTTGGGTTGCATACAACAATATGGGGTGGATTACAGTGAAACTTTTGCTCTTGTTGCCAAGATGACCACTGTCAAAACTCTCTTAGTTGTAGCTGCAATGCATGGTTGGGTTACCACTCTGTAGACACCCAAATGTGTATCCCCAAAACCAAACCCAGTGATGAATACCTTTCATGTCATTTGATTATCGTACATAGCGAAAGTGTGAAAAGTCTAGTGATGAGGATGTTTTTATTAAAATTTCTCTTCTTTCTGTTTTTGAAAATATTTATTTTCTTACCCTATTTATGTAAAACGTGCATTCCAGTTTAATTTGGTCCATGATATGGGTCCAATAATATTTTAGTTGTGTGGGGTTTGAAAAGACCTTTCCAACGATATATTATAAGCCCAATTCCGATGAATAATGAGGAAGTTATGGCCAAAATACTGAACTGGGCTCAAACCGGATTTTACCAACGGCCCAATGATCATGTGGAGGGTCCAAAGGTTTAATCCTATTCCTAAAATAATTAGGATTTATTATAATCTTCTATAAGTTTCTAAAAGATCTTAATTATCCTTTTTGAAAAGATAAAATCAAAGAGTTTGAAATTGAATAAAACTTTCCTTTTTTAAAATCCTAATTCTATTCAAATTTAAAGATGTTCAAAGATAGCAGATATTATTTTTGTGCCTCATAATCTTTATCCAAATCTTATATGGTTGGATATATCTTGAAATTATCTTTCCAATGATATATTATAATATTAATTCCTAGCTATAACGAAAAAGATATGAATGGAATACGAAACTCTATCCAAAACTAACACCCTTCCACTATTTTTGCCATATATTTTTATCTACAAAATATTTTAATTTTATTCTAATTGGGTTGGAAAGTAGACTTCAAGAGCTTTTCAACGACATATTATATGACTTATTTGGACTTCTAAATCATAAGATATGATAAAAACAAAATCCGCAAAAACTGTCTTGCATCGCCAAACGACAGGTTCGTTGCCTGGCGACGAGCCCTGTCGCTAGCGACAGAGATATGTCTTATTCTTTTTCGAACTCTGATTCGTTTCAATCGATTCCTAACTATTTTCTTATAAATAGGGTCCTTCAACCTCCGTTTTCAATAACCAATTCTCAACCAAAATTCTCTAATTCTCTTCTCTCTCTAAGTTAAAAAAGCTTATTCTCTCTCTCCCTCTTTCTAGCCTAGCCCTTTTACAAACACAATTCCTCATACATTAGCACTAGAAGCACCTAGCCAAGTTCTAAGTTCTCTTCGTACTAAACGTGAAAGGTTCGATATTTTTGAGGGTTCGGTCCCAAATCTATATTTCAATTATTTGATTTAATTATTTTATTATTATTTTCCTTGAAGTTACTAATGAGTGTATTTTGTTATTAGAAAGAGATACGAGGTATCCAAGTAAGTTATTTAATTGCTTTATTGATCTTTTGATATAGAAATCATGCTTAGATTGTTATTTTGATTCCTAGTATCATGTTAGGTTGTTTTATTGCTTCCTAGTATCATGTTTAGGGTAACAACTAAAATTTCTATTATCAAGTATGATTAAAAGGATGATTCCTATTTCTTTCCTAATATCATGTTAGTACCATGTTAGGGTTGAAGCTTTGATTTTTATTGTTTAGTGACATGCTAGGCTTTGTTATTAATCTTGTTAGTATCATGTCTAGGATCTTGCTATTATTATGCTTTCGCGTTGATATGATTATGGTTATGATTATTATTATGATTGTTATTATTATGATGATTATTATGTTGCTTGATATTTTATTACTATTGTTATTGCTTGATCACACCTTTTATGCATGTTTAAAGAAAATTTATACTTGTAATCACGCTTAATAAGATAATTAATAATCTTGTTTAGGGTTAATATGATTATAATTCAAGTGATCACTAATAATAGATTTATTTGTGCATTAATATTCAACCAACATAGATAAACAGGTTTAGGGCAAATCTACTGATTGCATGTTAGTAAGAAAGTGCACATGAATACAAGTAGAACAAAGTAAAGGCCTATTATTAGGGCAGGTTCTTTCTCTTTTAGATTAGATTTGTATCTTCATCCCCCGAACACCAGTCATGGTTCCAGACCTATTGGAGTTGACGATCTCATGAATCGTTAAGGGGTGTAACCTTCACCCTATGAACGGTTTACAAGTTCCTAAAACTTGTTGGCGACTCTTTTGCTCTACATTCCTTCCCTTTAGACGCCATCATGCTTAAGTGTATGATCACAGTGGGGTTCAAGTTTGGGGTGATGCTTGAAAAATTCCCTACACACTCAAATGGTTGTAACCAATGCATTCTTTCATGGTGATCTGGATGAGGATGTTTATATGTCTCTCCTCAAGGGTACACTGGTCATGGTAGCAAAATTTTGGTTGATTTCCAAGGCAATGCTCCTGTCAAGAACTCTCAACTTGTTTGCAAACTCAACAAGTCTTTGTATGGGCGTAAACAAGCCCCAAGACAATGGTTTGTCAAACTCTCTTCTTCTCTTGTCTCCTTTGGCTATACACAGTCAAAATCTGATTACAGTTTGTTCACCAAACATCAGGGTCAATCAATTACAGCCATCCTGGTTTATGTTGATGATTTACTTATCACTGGAAATGATTAGCAGGAAATTATAACTCTGAAAACACTCTTGTCTTCTCACTTTCACATGAAAGATCTTGGTCCCTTGAGATACTTTCTTGGCTTAGAAATTGATCACACAAATCAAGGGATTTTTATTTCTCAAAAGAAATACATAACAGATGTGCTGAGAGATGAAGGTTTGCTTCATGCCAAACCTCTGAAGCTTCCCATTAATACTCACTTGAAGCTGGCACCTGATAAAGGCAAACCTTTACCAAATCCTTTAATTTATCATAAATTACTAGGGAAACTGATCTATCTGACCATCACTAGGCCTGATATATCATTTAATGTGCAATTGTTGAGTCAGTTCATGCATTTCCCTACATATACTCATTTGCAGGCTGTAAAAAGACTACTGAGATATTTGGCTGGCTCAACCTCTCAAGGAATACTTCTTGCTTCTTCTTCTGCAGCACAGTTAACTGCTTAAAGTGATAGTGACTGGGCTAGTTGTCCATCTACTAGAAGGTCAACTACTGGCTATTGTATCCTTCTTGGGAAGTCACCTGTCTCTTGGAAGGCAAAGAAATAGTCTCTAGTTGCAAAATCATCAGCAGAGGCTGAGTACAGGGCCATGGCTCTCACATCCTGTGAGGTGACCTGGCTAAAAGCTCTGTTGAAAGATCTAGGCCTGTCTTCTCTAGGTACTACTCTTTTTATACTGTGATAATCAAGTTTCCATTGCAATAGCTGCAAATCCTGTTCTACATGTAGAAATTGACTTCCATTATGTTCGAGATATGGTCAGATCAGGTGATTTTATTACTGCTCACATTAATTCTGAAGATAAACTTGCTGATATACTCACTAAAGGCCTATCAGTGAAACAACATCAGCAACTCTTGCACAAGCTTGGTGCTAGCAATCTTACTAGCCCTCAGCTTGAATAGGGGTTATGAGCAGGATATTTGTAGGGCACTTTGGTATTCTTACTAATGGAATCAAATATGTTATGATAGCTGCTGTAGGCACCTACTTTTGGCCTCTTGTCCCGAAAAGGAAGTGCGATGATGTTACAAAAACCCGTTCTTCATGCTAAATCAAAAATGAAGTATATGGACTACAAAAAGCATTATGAAGTAAGTTAAAACCCATATTTGAGACCAATATATCTTAGAGCCTTGTCCAATTACTAATTAGGCCTAAAACGTGTTCATACATGTCTAAACTTGATTAATAACAGACCCAAATGCGTCAAATGCAATGATTGGATCCAATGGAACCTACATTGTTGAAAACCGAGACAAAAAGATAAATCAACCATCAAATTCCCGTGCAAGTCCTATATATATGGATATCACTTTCAAAGATCTTTCCAACGGTATATTATAAGCCCAATTCCGAGCCAAAACGAAGAAGTTATGATCAAAACACTAAATCGGGCCCAAAACCGACACCCTTGCACTCCAACGGCCATAACTTTTAATCCATAACATATTTTAACCTAATTCTAACGGCATTGGAAAGTAGACATTTAGAGATTTCCAATGATATCTCACACGCCTTAATCCAACTCAGCAATCAAAAGTTATGGAAGTTTTTAAAACGCGTTTTTGTATAAGGAAAACCGCAAACCAACGCAACTCGATAAGTTGCGCGCGCCTGGCACGCGCGACTCATTGAGATGCGCGCGACACCCAGCGCGACTCAGAGAGTTGCACGTGCCACCTGACGCCGCGGCTCTAAAACCCTAAACCTAGATTCCTACGCCTATAAAAAGGGGTCTTCGTTCAGCACTAAACACACAGAAAAATCAGAATTCTAAACCCTAAATTCTGAAATCCTTAATCTCTCAAATCCTCTTACTATCATACTACTTTTCTTCTCTCTTCCCAAATACTTTCCAACCCTAATTGAATCCATTGAAATCCTTGGAGGTATAAAGAAGAAATAAGGTCCAAAACATCTAAGACGAAGATCAAAGCATACAAAGAAGAACGATTAGTTTCCTGAGCACTTAGATAAATCACTTTACTTATATTGTTTAAATAACTTTAATTGATTAATTAGTGTTGTTTGATCACTTTAAACAAACTTTTAATTAATTCATTCACATAGTACACTTTCGTTAATCGATCAAGACTAGAATTTGAATAATTAATTGTTGTTTTATCACTTAAGACAAGGTAAATCTTGTTTATTTATTGTTCTTTCACGAATATTGATTAAATAAGAATAACGAATTTTGCAATGTAATTTCTATATGATTAATGCGTGTAAATAAAATCAACTAACTTAGTCTTTAGGTATCACGTTGCATATATTGTTTGGTGATGAAATTGTGAAACATGAAGAGCTAGTAGAGGCCGCACTAGGGCTAGAATAGCGATTCCTCCCTTAAAGGAACGTTATTTTAGCACCCTCGCTTTCGAACTCATTTATGGTTTATGTAGTCCAATTTGGGCATGGGTAAACTTACGATTCGTGCTAATTATCCCATGAACTCCACATGGGAGAAAGGCATGAACGAGGTTTATGAGTTTTCCTAAAACTCATTGGCGACTCCCTACTTGTTTCTTATAAAAAAGCGTGATGACAAGATCAATTCTAATTCAAGGTCCCCCAAACAGTCAGGAATTCAAATCTTACTACATCTTAACAAGTGTAAAGTCCTAGGCTTCTAAAGGGCCAATGGGCATTTAAGGAGAAGATCCCCTACGATGGGAACACCCTCATTACAGCTGCTATATGCCAGCTACTTGGGTTGTTTTTTAGGGATCTGAATTTAAGAAAGATTCTCTTAGCTGTTTTCTTAGTTTTGGTGTAATAAAGTTGTATTTTGTCCTGATATATATCAGGTACAATGTGTGCCATTTTGAGCTTATGAGAAGATATACCAGCTTTCCTCCTCTCTGCTATTCCCACACTTCTTTCTCTCATCCTCTTGCACACTAATCTTCTATTACTATTTACACACCTTGCTATCCCTGATGATCATTGCTCAATTCCAATAAATCCCCTGCTGCGAGTCTGCGACCAACATTGCAGTTCGCATGAATTATAGAATTTGGAATAACATATGACCATATGTAGCAAATTCTACTTTCAGGCGAACCAAAATTGTTAATGCGTTAAACTACATAGTATGATCTAGGAATATGCTATATCTATTTAAATTACATAGTATGATCTAAAAATATGCTATATCTATTTAAATTACATAGTAGTCTTTATGATCTAGGAATATGCTATATCTACTTTCGGGGGAACCAAAATTATTAATGCGTTAAATTACATTATAATTGCACTTACAGGGGTAAGCAATGCTTAAAGTTGTCAGAACTTAACAAGCTATCAAATTTATCAAGGGATAAATAGCCTTTTTGGTATTTAAAGGATTCATCTCTGCATGAATGTAATAGCAGTAAGTACACTACACTATAAAAAGAAATCAACAATGGAAAGATTACATAAACAACCAGATTTCTTTAATATTTTTGTAAGCAAAACTTCCTTATCCAACCAATGTGGGACAATCACCTTTTCCCCAAAATACAAGTGGAAAAACAAGCTAGCTCACACATTTAAGGACAGTTTCACAATTATTACACATTGTAGACACCCAAATGTGTCTCCCCAAAACCAAACCCAGTGATAAATACCTTTCACGTCATTTGATTATCAAACAAAGTGAAAGTGTGAAAAAATGTGGGGCCCTTTTGTGTCATATATTGTCCCTCCTCTCCTATATTTCTTGTTTCTTCTGCCTAAATGCAATGGTAGTAAAAATTTTCACAATTTTCCCCCTAAATGCACAATTTTCTTGATTCTTAATTTTGGTTTTATTTTTTGCAAACTAAAAAAAGTTGTCATAATAATTTGTTAGAGCATTTATTTTTCATAATTTGTTATAATCCCTTTTTTTTCTCAAACTTTGGGGTTGGGTCTCTTTGGGTTGAATTAATTACAAATACCATAAAGGATTGTTGGTATCTAAATGAATACCATCAAGCATTGTTGGTATCTAAAAGAATACAATCAAGATGCTGGTATCATAAAAAGTACCATGCACAGGAAAAGATAGAACAAGAACAATATCAAATACCATCAATGACTAATGGTATAAAAGAATACCATCAAGAGAGGTTGGTATCCAAAAGAATACCATCAAAAATTGTTGTAGAATACCATCATGGACTGTTGGTATCTAAAAGAATACTATCAAGAAGTTGTTGGTATCATAAAAAGTATTATTAACAGCAAAAGATAGAACAAGAATAACACCAAATATCATCAAAAAGTTTGTTGGTATCATAAAAAGTACCATCAACATCAAAAGATAGAACAAGAACAACACCAACGGTTAATATACTTCATTTTCGTCGGAGTTCATATCGTCGTTCGCTTTTGCTTATCTCTTCACCCTTAGCTTTAGCTTAGCTTTGGTCTGATGGGTTTCTCTCTCTTCTTTTAATTTCGAATTCCTTCTTATGTTTTCAGATCGTCATTTGCTTAAGCGTTTCTCTTCGCCCTTACCTTTATATTTTCTCTTCTATCTTCTTTGAACTGAAATGGTTCGAGAAGGGTTTCTCTCTCTTCTTTTGTTTTTGGACTTGCCCCTTATGTTCTCTCTTTCTTCCCTTTTAAATTTTTTTTTAGTTCTTTAAAATTTGGTCATCAGACAATTTTCAAAACAATAAGGGTCCACCACGTACTACAGCTATGTCCTCATAATATACAAAATTACTAAATTAAGCTGAGAAATTCTCGCGGAAGATGAGAGAGAAAACCCTAGCTAACTAATACTCCCTCTATTTTTAAATACTTGTTCCATTTCTATTTTTTGCACTATTCATTTGTCCTATTTTGACTAATGTTTGTGATTTATATTATAGAAAAAATATAATGTACTTGTTGGAATCATCTCAATGAATAGATTGTTAATTTTCAATTGTTAGAATTTATACTTATTGATAATTAAATATATTAGTGATCAAATATTAGTATCGGCATGCGTGTCCAAGAGAAATGGAGCAAGTATTTAAAAACGGAGGGAGTATCATGAAAGAATTATAATATTATGATTGTTATGCTTAGCAATATATACAGAGTATAGGATTAGGCATTGCTCTAATCTAGCTATAAACAAGGAAAGTAAATAATCCTAAGGCTAAAAACAAGGAAACCAGTACCCACAAGACTATATTTTTTATAATAGCAATTAATATTAAGATAATAAATAACATTTAAAGATAATACTAATTATTAATTTTTAATAATATTAATAATTCAATAATATTTAATAATAATTATAATTAATATTTAAATTTAAAAATTTAATGATTATAATAAAAATACGATAATAATAGTATTAATAATAATAATAATAAAAATAAAAATAAAAATAAAAATAATAATAATAATAATTAATATTTAAAAATAATAATAATAAAATCTGCTCTGCTCTGCTCTGCCCAGAAGCTCAAAAGAACAGGGCCTAAGTCATAGAATTCCCTCAAAAAAAAAAAAATACTCCCTCCTTTTTTAAATACTTACTTTACTTCTCTTGGACATGCATGCCGATGCTAATCTTTGATCACTAATATCTTTAATTATCAACAAGTATAAATTCTAACAATTGAAAATTAATATTCTATTCATTGAGATGATTCCAACAAGTACCCACAAGACTATATTTTTTCTTATGTACAAATCACAAACATTAGTCAAAGTATGACAAATGAATAGTGCAAAAAATAAAAATGGAGCAAGTGTTTAAAAACGGTGAGAGTAAAAAATAAAAATTAAAAGGCTAAGTTGTAGAAATCTAGATTAAAGGACAATGACTAAAATCCATATGTTTATTATGGTCAATTACCAATGTGACATTTATTGTGGAAAATAAATATAATACTTCCTTCGTCATTAAAAACATAGTTTGTTATTTATATATTTCACCCAACTCGATTAGCTTGACCTCTTATTGTAGGGTTTTAGGTACTCTAAGCGGAATTTTATGAATCACATTCATATGCACCTAAACAGGATCTCATGCATATACAAATAAAGGGTCACATAATAGTTTAGAATTAACCTTAGAAGCGTGAATCCTCTTAGCAATCTTCTTCTCTACCGGAGATAAAGAGTCTCAATTGTAACTCCTCTATTTGGTCCACCGGATTGAATCAACACTCCACCAATGCTAGTTGGACGGGAAAAACCTTTCACCTTTCTTGGAGTTGAGAACCAATTTTAGAGAGAAAATATTGAGAGAAAAACTTACGTTGTTTTCAGAAAACTGAATACTGTGTATTTTAATTATCCTTAACTAATTAATAAGTAATTATATTATTATTAATTAGGTTAGGGTTTTCTCTCCCCTTTCCCTTTTTGGCCGGTCACCCTAAGGCCCACTTTGGGCTTTGGGTTTCTTTATTGATCCAATCCTAATGTGTGACCTTGCAGGATCCGTTTAGGCGGGCTTCGGGTTTGTTACTTACTAACCCAAAGTACTATAGCATTCTCTAGCAAGACGTATAGACGACCCAAATAAACGAATTACTATCTCCATAATACGATCCATAATTATATTGAGTAATTGCACTAAAGTCGAGGACACATTTCCTTCACTTATGTGATATATGATCTTCCATCAACTCTTTCTCTGTCGATCAATTTTTTTTATTCTTAGAGCATCAATAGTCACTGGTTCTTAATACAAGGTCAATTAATGAATTAATCTCTCCTCTTCACTTTGTTCAAATTTAGACCCTTCTTTGTTTCAAAAAAAAAAAAAAAAAAAAAAAAAAAAAAAAAAAAAGACCCTTCTACAAAAGTCCAGGAAAAAAGTATTCAAAATTGCAATACATTGCATATAACAAATCAATGGAAAAAAAGTACATTCAACTAGTGAGTAAAGGTGCAAAGAAGATGAATATGCATATATTTTCTCAATTCCCAAAATGTTGCACCATTTTACCTTAAAGTTTTACAAATATTACTCGTACTAATATAGAATCAACAGTACGTGATCTGAAAAACTGATCTCTAGTCTTATATTCTTACAACGAGCCAACAACAGACAAAAAACCCATTTCATGAACATAATACTAGTACATAACAAAAAACCCATTTAACTTTGGGGCGGGTCATGTTACGACAAACAGAATTAGTTATGGCCTAGACTTTTTCTGGGTATTAGCTGTAGCAAAAAATAGTTAGGAATTTTTTTGGTTAATTAAACAACCAAAAACAACATAAAAACAGAAAATTGCACATTTTAAAAAAAAATCGAAAAGCAAAAGATTTAACAAACTATTGTCTCAAATTGAATGAAACTAAAGACACACAATGTGCAATATAGTGTACAATGCACTAAACATTGATATAAAATCCTACAGCTCTGCAAAAATTATTAGGGCAGTACTGATGCTAGAAAAAGAATGAAGTTTTCGATCAATCTAAGTGACAATTTAACAAACAAAACACCAAGAAATCACTTACAACCAAAAAGAATATAAAATGGGCAATTTTCATCAGACAAATATAGTCTAGAAAAGAAGAAAAACCTAATCAGACTCTTGCATTGTCTACCAGCAAAGGAGTAGTCCCAGATACAACCGAGTGAGCTGATGAGGAGCTTGTGGTGCCAGTAGCACTGCTTCCTGTTAACCCAGAGGAGCTTGAGATGTAGAAAGGTTCTACATTTGTTGGCAAAGAGCAATAGGTGGGAACTGGGAACTTTGTAGGCAAGTTAGGCAAAGGAGACTCCTTGTTAAGAGCATTTATAACCTGTCTTATGGAAGGACGGAAAGTGTGTTCAGGATGGCAACACCACAACCCAATGATCATCAAGCATTCCAATTCCTGAATGTCACAATCTCCTTCTTTGAGTGTTTCATCGACTGCATCAAGAAGACGGCCTTCTCCATAGAGCTGCCACACCCACTCTATCAAACTCACCTTACTAGGCTCTTCCTTGGATTCAACAGGCCGCCTTCCACAAGCAATTTCAAGGGCCACCACCCCAAAACTGTAGACATCAGATTCTTTGCTGGATTTTCCTGTCATAACACACTCTGGGGCTAGATAGCCTAAAGTGCCGGCCAATACAGTTGTTTGTGATCCTAGACTGTGGTCTACAAGCCTAGCTAGCCCGAAATCTCCAAGCTTAGCATTGAAATTAGAATCAAGCATGACATTGCTGGACTTAATATCCCTGTGCAACACACATTGTTCCCATTCTTCGTGGAGATACAGTAAGGCAGATGCCAGGCCATGGGCAATTCTGTACCTCTCTGTCCAAGGTAAGACCATCTTTCTTTTGTTGGCGTAAATATGGGTGTCAAGACTTCCATTAGACATAAATTCATAAACAAGAAGCAAGTCTCCTCGTTCATGGCACCAACCAAGAAGTTGAACCAAATTTTTATGCCTCAGGCGGCTAATAACCTTCACCTCTGACACATACTCCTTCTTCCCTTGTTTAGATCCCCTTGATATCTTCTTAACTGCAATATCCCGGCTAAGATCAGACAGATAACCTCTATACACACCTCCAAAACCTCCCTGTCCTAGCTTCCCTTCCTCAGGGAAGTTGTTAGTAGCACGAATAAGTTCACTGTATGTAAACCTCCTTGGCCCAGTATCCTGATCAAAATCATCATCATCCATATCAAAATTTATGTCATCGTTATTTTCTCTGGATCTCCTTCCCCTCCACATAAATGCTAATGCACCTAATCCAATAATGATGACACTAATACCACCTACAAGGCCACCAACCAATGCTGCTTTACTTGTTTTTTTGCTTGGCCTAGTTGATGGTTGATTGCTTGTGTTATTTTGTGGAGGTGGCGTAACACTAATATCGACATCTTCTAAGGTTGAGTTGAAATCCCAAGAAAGTATGTTATGAAGTTCGTAATTAGCTCCTGTTGCAGAAGCAAACCCAACTCTGACTCTTTCCGGGAGAATTGATCTCAGGTCAATGACATATGAAATGTTAGAATCTCCATTAAATACAGGATTAGCATCATAGCTTAAGTAAACACTTAGATTTCTGGTAGAAGAATCATAAGTTATCCATGCATTGGCTGTACTCCTGTTCTTCAGGCCTTCAGTCACTGTAAAATTTGCTTTTGAATATACAGAATTGACATTTATTCCTACATGATCATTACTCGAAGCCCCTGAAAAACCTGGATCCCATCTATTGTGGAAGCTATCAAACTCGACAGCAACGAACGGGTATGTACTCGTAACATTGCAAGATTGACCAGGACTAGATTGACCACCTATCAAACCAAGACACCCACCAGATGAGTCCCCTGGAGCATCAGCTGAAACATTGAACGGCGCTAGAAAAAAGGCGAGTCCATCACCGTAGTAGTTTTCATTGTTAATTATCTGTGCGATATCAAAAGAAAAGTGGGTGGTAAAGTTTGTTGTCTTGTTAGTGCTTTTATCCCAAAGGCGCACAGCCTGATTGTAGGATGCTCGTCCTACACTTTGACTGTTACCGCCAACAGCTCTATTGGCAGTCAGCTGAATAGCGCCATTTACAAGAGTTGTATCGTTCCTTAAGGTAATATTTGGTGTGTTTTGGTTAAAACTCGAGAAACTAAAGCTCAACGATTGTACATGTGAGACAACAAACAACAGCAAAATAAAGATATGAAAGATAGTAGAGGTCATTGGGATGAAGTATAATGATGAACCGAAGCTGCGAATTGATAAGCTCATTTCTTTAGATTGGAATACAGAGCAAAAGATACAAAGAATGAAGAAAGGCAGACAAAATTATAGGTTGGATACAAAACTTGCTCAAATTCACTTAGAAAAGTCCAGGTTACACTATATTCAGTTTTCTGCTGCAGTTTGTTGACTATGTCAAACACAAACTACTCAAATAATTCTATGCTATAATTAAAGCACCGTGTTAGTTACAACCAGCTAAGTCATAGAAATCTAGATTAAAGGACAATGACTAAAATCCATATGTTTATTACGATCAATTACCGATGCTGACATCTATCGTGGAAAATAAATACTCCCTTCGTCTTTAAAAACATAGTCCTGTTTATCTATTTATTTCACCCAACTTGATTAACTTGACTTCTTAGCCTCGCTCTCTTTCTTGATATCTTATGGCTTATGCAATACGTGACCATCCATTAACTCTTTCTCAATAGTCACTACACTCACTAGTTCTTAATACAGGGTCACTTAGTCTCTCCTCTTCACCTCATCTTTTGTTCAAATTTAGACCCTTCTATAAAAAGTCCAGGAAAAAAATTATTCAAGATTGCAACACATTGCATGTACCAGGTCAATGGAAAAAATAGTTTCCTCTCAAAATTACGTTCAACTCGTGAGCAAAGGTGCAAAGAGTCAAAGACGTATATGCATATACTTTCTCCATTCCCAAAATGTTACCCAGTTTTACCTTTTGAGAGAGTTTCACAAATACTACATGTACTAATGTAGAATCAATAGTACGTGATCTGAAAAAGAGATCTCTAGTCTTAGATTCTTACGAGCCAATGACAGAGTAAAATCTTTCCTGATGGGGGACTTAAATTTTTGGCAAATAATGGGGACTAGCAGGGTTCAAGAAACATTATGTTAGGGATTAATCATACAACCAAAATTTCCTTTGAATTTATACACAGCAGTACTACATTTAAAACAATGCATAACACCTTGATATAATACTACAGTGAAACAAAATTAAATTGATGCAGCACTGATTCTGGAAATCACAGAAAATACTTCAATGTACAATTGTACAGACTGTATGTTCAGAGAGTTACCATAATGAAATAATTTTAATAAACACTCTTTTTTTCCTTAAAATATAAAGATGTATATATTAAGGCTAATCAGACTTCAGCACTGCATTTTCAGATAACAAGGGGAAAGAGCCATCACAAATAACTGGCCCAGAGGAAGAGCATGTAGCTCCACTACTGCCTGTAAATCTAGAAGAAGATGTGATATAGAAAGTATCCACGTTCATTTGGGGAGAACAATAGATTGGAACCGGAAACTTTGAAGGCAAGCTATGCAAAAGTGATTCCGTATTTAGAACACTTAAAGCATGTCTTATAGAAGGACGATAAGTATGGTCTGGATGGCAACACCACAAGCCAATCACCATTAAGCTTTCGACTTGCTGAATGTTGAAATCTTCTTCGAGACTTTTGTCAACTGCTTCAAGAAGACGGCCTTCTCCATAGAGATTCCAAACCCATTCTAACGTACTCGCATTATCTTCAACAGGCCGCCTTCCACAAGCAATTTCAAGGGCCACCACCCCAAAACTATAGACATCAGACTCCTTGCTAGCCTGTCCTGTGATAACACACTCGGGAGCAAGGTATCCTAAAGTACCAGCTGTTTGGGTCCAATTTAGTCCAATTGGGCCTAGGCATTAAATGATCCAATTTAGCTGTTATGCTACCCGCTAGTTCACCATTCGAGCAATGGATACTGGAAGAGCGCGTGCCCACGGTTAAAATACCGTCGCACATCACATATGACGGGACCTCGGATCCGAAGGATCACGTGGCCTCGTATGAGACTCATATGCATCTTTGCCCCAGATCCGAAGCGACTTAGTGCAAATATTTCCCAACCACTCTCAAGGGGATCGCGCAAGCGTGGATCTCCAAGGGAGTAAAGCAAGGCTCCATAACAGGGTGGGATGATCTGTCCTCCAAATTTAGGAGCAAGTTTTCCACGGCAAACCGCCGAGAGAAGACTACTGCAGAACTCATGAGTCTACAACAGGGGAAACCGAAAGCCTCCGAGACTATCTGACCCGTTTCAGTAACGAGTCATCCAGCGTCTCTCAGCTGGACCAGGGGCTAGCCGTTTTTGCAATGCAGAATGGCCTTCAGCCCGGGAAGTTCCTAGACTTCATGGTCATGCATACTCCGCAGACCTTGGAGGAAGCTCTGAATGCCTCGGATAAGTTCATCCGAGCCGAAGAATGGAACAAAGCGAAAACCCAACCTCAATTTGGGGGAGGGAAACAAAAACAAATACCCTTGTCTGAAGGCCAAGGCCATAAGGCAAAGGGAAAGTCAAAGGCCTCGGAGCAATCTTCGGCCAGCGACCCAAAGAAGGAAAAATCTACCTCATACACAGGTAGATACGAGTCCTACACTCCGCTCTCTCTTCCACGCGCCAAAATTTACAGCGTGACGAAGGAGGAGCAGAGTACCGAAAGCCGAGACCACTCCCAGAGTGGTATCAGCGAAAAAATAAAAATCAGTGGTGCGAGTTCCACGAGTCTTCGGGACACAACACTGAGGAGTGTATCCAACTGAAGGACCAGATAGAGGACATGGTCCGGAAGGGATACTTGAAAAAATACATCGCGGATCACCGCGAGAAAAAAGAATCCGAGAAGTCAGCAAAGGACTCTCGGCAAGACCTCGACTTCCCCCGGAAGAACAGTAAAAAGCCGGAGGGGAAATTCCCTCCGATCAATGTTATCTCGGGAGGAATATACTCTCGGAGGGAGCACAAGCGACACCTTAGAGCTTTGACTCACCAGGTGAACAACGCTGACATTCAGTCTCCCCAGTCGCCGGTGCCGAACATGACGTTCACAGCCGCCGACTGCCGGGGGATAACGTTCCCTCACGAGGATCCGTTGGTGATCATCGCCACGGTGGCCAACCACGACGTCAGTAAGGTCCTTGTTGACGGTGGCAGCGGAGCAAACATTCTGTTCCGAAAGGCCTACAATCAAATTAAGCTGAAGCCCAAGCACCTTACGCCGGTACCCTACCCGGTATCCGGGTTCAACGGGGCTTCAACTTATCCAGATGGGAAGGTGACACTTCCTGTCACCATCGACTGCGATGAGGCAGCCAAGAACGTCATGATTGAATTTTTGGTCATTGACGCTCCTTCAGTGTACAACGTGATTTTGGGGAGACCCATAATTCATGAGATCCAAGGGGTCGTCTCAACTTATCATCAACTGATGATTTACGTCTCAGACGCCGGCTTTCCCGAAAGGATACAGGGCAACCAAAAGGACGCCCGAAGGTGCAACTACCTCAAGCCATCCAGTAGTCGCCTAGATGACGACAAGGATGAGGAGGAGAAAGAAAAAGAAAGAGAGCCAAGCACCAAAAAGCCGAAAGGCCTAAGTGCTTCGGCTCAAGGATCTGAACCCAGAGGTAAAGGGCCCGAAAGGGAAAAGGCTAGCTCTTCAGCTGAACAGCAAGACTCAGAGAGCCAGCCGAAGAACAAAAAGACTGGGACACCTGCTGACATTGGCAGCAGGCCAGATTATGAGGAGTCCAGTCCATCAGCAATGGACATGGACCAGCAAACTGAAACAGTTGAGTTGGCCGAAGGAGACGTTGAGAAATTTGTAACAATCGGGATGGACCTTGATCCGAACACCCGTTGTGAACTTACTCAGCTCCTTCGAGACAACAGAGATGTGTTTGCTTTCTCGGCAGCTGATATGCTCGGGATAAGTTCAGACCTCATCTCCCATAAGCTTAATGTTGACCCAACGTGTCGACCAGTTAAGCAAAAGAAGCGGAATTACTCCGCCAATAAGAACCAAGACATCGCAGCCGAGATCAAAAAATTGCTGGAGGCAGGATTCATCGAACCTTGCCAATATCCAGAATGGCTGGCAAATGTTGTGATGGTTCAGAAGCCCAATGGTACCTGGAGGATGTGCGTTGACTTCACGGACCTAAATACGGCTTGTCCGAAGGATTTCTATCCCTTGCCGAGGATCGATCAGCTAGTCGATTCGACAAGTGGCCATGCCTTGCTTAGTTTCATGGACGCATTCTCGGGGTATCATCAGATCTTCATGCACCCCGACGATCGAGCAAAGACAGCATTCGTCACGAACGTTGGGGTGTACAATTACAAAATGATGCCCTTCGGATTGAAAAATGCTGGGGCAACCTATCAAAGGCTGGTGGATCAAGTTTTTGCCGATCAAAAGGGCCGAAACATGGAAGTCTATGTTGACGATTCGATCGTCAAAAGCAAAAAACCAGAGGACCATGTAAAGGACCTGGCTAAAACTTTCGCCACCTTGAGAAAGCATCAAATGAAGCTGAATCCGAAGAAGTGTGTCTTCGGCGTGAACTCAGGGAAATTCCTTGGGTTCATGGTCAGCAAAAGGGGGATTGATGCCAATCCCTCCAAAGTCAAAGCGGCGCTCGACCTTCCTGAGCCGAAAACGAAGCGGGATGTTCAGCGTCTCACCGGAAGAATGGCAGCCCTCTCGAGGTTCATTTCCAGAGCTTCGGATAAGGGGTTACCTTTCTTCAAAGCCTTGAAGCTCCCGAAAAAAAAAGAGCTCGTTTGGGAGGAAGAGCAAAAAAGACGTCTTCAAACTGCTTCGGGAGCATCTGGCTCAACTCCCAACGCTGGCTAGCCCAGTTGAAGGAGAAACTTTGTACCTATATGTGGCCGTTAGCCCAGCCACCATCAGCGCAGTATTGCTGAAGGAAGAAAGTAAAAGTCAGCAACCGATCTATTTTGTCAGTCATACACTGACGGATGCCGAGACTCGCTATCCTCTACTCGAGAAAGTCGCTTTCGCGGTAGTAGTAGCTGCTCGGAAGCTGAGGCCCTATTTTGATTGCCATCAGATAGTGGTCTTAACTGATCAGCCGTTGGAAAAAGTTCTCGGCAAGGTTGAAAAATCTGGTAGGCTAGCCAAGTGGGCTTTTGAGCTCACCGAATTCAGCATCAGCTACCGTCCGAGGCTGCCATTAAGGCTCAAGCTCTAGCGGATTTCTTGGCCGAATGCTCATACCAAGAAGCGCTAGACAGTGAAAAGAAAGTATGGACCGTGTTTACGGATGGATCTTCCACCGAAAACGGTTCGGGTGCAGAAGTGGTGATAACTTCTCCCGAAGGCAAATCCTTTGAGTATGCACTAAAATTTTCTTTTAAGGCCTCGAACAATGAAGCCGAGTATGAGGCAGCAATCGCCGGCCTAGAATTGTGCATCTCCCTGGAAGCCGATCATGTCTGCCTAAAAACAGACTCTCAGCTAGTTGCATATCAGATCAGTGGCAGCTACGAGGCCAAAGAGCCCTCCATGATAGCTTATCTTGCCAAGATCAAGTCAGTCATTGCAGAAATGAAAACTTTTGAGGTTCAGCTGATCCCAAGGGGTCAGAATACTCAAGCCGATGCACTTTCCAAACTTGCCAGTTCATCTCTTACCGAGCTGAACAGATCTGTATATGTAGAAGTGCGTCGAGAGAGAAGTATCGACGAAGCACCTGAAGTGTGCTGCGCTGACCCATAGCCTAGTTGGATGGACCCCATCCTAGCTTTCAAGCTTCGGGGAGAAACTCCCGAAGATAAAGCTTTGGCCTCCAAAATAAAGAGAACCAGCTCTAGGTTCATTGTCTTTAGGGGGGAACTTCTGAAAAAGTCCTTCTCAGCCCCATTGCTGAAATGCGTGGGACCAACAGATGCAGATTATATCCTACGGGAGATTCACCTTGGCATCTGTGGGAACCACATTGGGGGAAGGACCTTAGCCCACAAGGCATTGAGGGCTGGATATTACTGGCCCACCATGATCGCAGATGCTAAAGAGCTGGTTCGGAAATGCGAAAAATGTCAAAAGTACGCTCCAGTTATCCATCAGCCAGCAAGGGATCTTCAGCCGATCCTTAATCCACTCCCGTTTGCCCAATGGGGACTGGATATACTGGGACCATTTCCAGAGGCTGTGTACCAGAAAAAATGGCTGATAGTTGGTGTCGACTACTTCAGTAAATGGATCGAGGCCGAAGCAGCCTCGAACATTACAGAGCAAACTGTCAGAAAATTTATCTGGCAGAATATCATCACTCGATTTGGCATCCCGAGAGTATTTGTCTTCGATCATGGGAGGCAATTTGATAACTTACCGCTGAAGCGGTATACAGATCAGTTCGGCATCAAACTGGCATATTCAGCGGTATGCCACCCGCAAAGTAACGGACAAGCCGAAGCTGCAAATAAACAGATCTTAAATGCCCTCAAGAAAAGGGTGGAAGATCAAAAGTCCAAGTGGCTGGAGGAGCTCCCTGGAACCCTTTGGTCCCTTCGGATAACTGAAAAAGAGGCAACGGGCTATTCACCTTTTGAACTGGTATATGGTGCCGAAGCCGTCCTTCCAGTGGAAATTGGCTCTGAGAGCCTACGAGTGCACCATTTCTCGGCTGAGAATGAGCAACTGATGAGGGAATCTCTCGATTTCCTCGACGAAGTAAGAGACTCAGCCCGAGACAGAATGGCCGCTTATAAGCAGAGAATCGGCAAATTTTATAACCGAAGGGTCCATGCAAGGCCTCTCAAAATTGGAGACCTTATCCTTCGGAATGCTGCTGCAGTTC